TTGCTTTCATTTGTCTCCAAACATTAAAATCAAAACAAACCAGGGCCAAGAATCTGGCTCAGTGGCACAGCACCTGCCTGGCAAGCACAAGATCCTGAGTTCAATTCCCGGTTCGGCGGGGGATGGGACTAAAACAAACCATGGTTGCTCACACTTGTAATCTCTGCTATTCTCAAGGCTGAGGCAGGAGGATTGAGAATACAAGCCCAACTTGAGCAATTTAGTGATACCCTATCTCAAAATTTTTTTTAAAAAGTGGAGGAGGGACCTGTAGGTGTAGCTCAGTGCAAAGGCCCTGGGTTCAACCCACAATGCTGCAAAAAAAAAAAATTTTTTTTGGTATCAGGAATCGAACTCGGGTCCTTCCGCTTGTGAGGCAGGCAGAGGAACCACTGAGCTAAATCCCCGGCCCAAAAAAATTTTTTTTAAGAAATAAAAAGGTTGGGCCGGGGATTTAGCTCAATGGTTCTGCTGCCTGCCTTGCAAGCAAAAGGACCTGAGTTCGATCCCCGGTTCCAAAAAAAAAAAAAAAAAAGAAATAAAAAGGTCAGCCAGGGATTTAGCTCAGTGGTTCCAGCACCTACCTCACAAGCACAAGGTACCAAGTTCAATCCCTAGTACCAAGAAAATAAAGAAATAAAAGAAATAAAAAGGTCCAGGGGTAACAGCTCAGTGGTAGAGGGCCCTTGAGTTCAATCCCCAGTACAAAAAAAAAAAAAAACCACTTTGTTTTTTGGTACCTGGGATGGAACTTGGGTCCTTGTGCTTGTGCAGCAGGTGGCAAAACCACCTTTTTTTGGTTTTTTGTTTGTTTTTGGTGTTTTCTTTTGGTACCGAGGATCAAACTCAGGTCCTTGAACTTGCAGGGCAGGCAGAGGAACCACTGAGCTAAATCCCTGGCCCTTTTTTTGGTTTTTTGAAAAGGGGTCTCACTACATACTCCAGGCTGGCCTCCAACTCATGGTGATCCTCCTTTTTCCAGTACCAGGGCTCAAACTCAGGCCCGTGCACTTGCAAAGCAGGAGCGGAGCCACTGAGCTAAATCCTCAGCCCTCACAATTCATTTCTAATCCATGATGAACTCACTAGGAGGCTGCAAAGTAGAATGACACGCACTCTGGGAGGAAAAAAGCAGGCCATCTCCAACTTAGCTCCTGCCTTTGGGAAAAACTCGAAAAACTTGAAAGTAACCTCCTAGGGCCAAACCCAATAGACATTTCAGTCCAACTCCTCCTCGACCTCTCGGGCGTTTGGATAGTGACCTCTGCTCTCCTAAATGGCAGGATGCTGTTCTCTTAGGGCCACACTCATCCATACTAAATGGCCATATGGACATCATTGGCCCTTGACATGATATGGTCTAACCTCTGGCCTCACTCAACATTGGAGGGGGTGGGGGTGGTACTGGGGTCTGAACTGAGCTACATCCCCAGCCTTTTATTTTTTGCTAAGTCACAAAATTGCCCAGGTTGGGTTCAGACTTTCCATGCCCCTGCCTCAGCCCCCTGAGTACTGGGATTACAGGTCTGTGCCACCACGCCAGGCTTCAACTCTTGTCTTAACTCCAGTCCTGCATGTCCAGCTCTCCACTGGTCCCTACAAATATGTTCCATTTATTATATCCAAAACCAAATACCATTTGTCCTCCTCCCATTTTCCCTACCTTGCTGGGTGTCAGCAGCCAGTGAGTCACCAAACTAAAGACAAGGAAGTCACTGCAGATCCATTCTTTCAGCAAAAATTTAAGAAATCCTCACTGGGTGCCAAGCACTGACATGACACTGAGTCCTCCCTTCTAAGGAGACAGACAACAATATAGGAAACTGATAAAGCAAAACAACACAGCATTTAGGCAGTGAGAAGGGCTAAAGAGAAAAGTCAGGCAGGACAGGGGCCATGAAGTGCCCCAGTGGTCCAGAGCAGCCAGAGGAGGGAGACAGGGTAGTGCCCAGAGCTCAGTAGAAGAGTGACAAGGCCCATGGTGCTGCACAGGCTGGTACTGACACAAAGCTGGAGTCCCCACTGCCTTCCCTGCCCCAAGCCAGGTCTGTGGGACCCTAAGCCCCCTGACCAGCTGCTCTGTGCCTCTTGTCGCTCCCCTAACCCAGCCACGTGTGGACCACACCAGGGGTGAATGGCTTCCTAACCAGCTCATCCCAGTTCAAGTCTACTGCCTCTGCCTGTTTTGTTTGCCACGCTAGGGACAGAACCCAGGGCCTCATTCAGGTTAGGCATGTGCTCTAACTATGAGCTGCACTTCCCCAGCCCCTGCCTCCTCCCTTTTGAAATGCTACCTGGCTCCTTAGCGTCCTCTGACCTCCATCAAGCCTCAGAAAACAGCCTCCCCAGCCCTGCACACAATGCACCAAACCTTTCCCAACCTCCCTCCCTCAGACCCCAGCCCCTGTTGACACATCTCCATCACAGCTCGCCTCAGGCCTCATTTCCTCCTATCAGGGCCACAGTCCCAATGCCATCCCTGACACCTGGCCAATTCTGATCAGCCCTTTCTTTCAGAGTCTGAGGAGTAGGTAGGTCTCTAACCTCTGCCTTGGGAGTCTGCCCAAGCCAGACTGCCAGGCAACTCTTCTACCTCCACATCTCCAGCCACTAAGCACAGTATCTGCACTTCAAAGGGTTCCCAAAAGTCACTTAAGGCCATGCTTTGCTAATCATTTTTATTCTATTCCTGGGGTCGGGGATTTAGCTCAGTGGTTCCACCGACTGCCTCGTAAGCGCAAGGACCCAAGTTCGATCCCTGGTGCCTAAAAAATTGGAAAAAAAAAAATTCTATGCCTGAAATATGACACAAACTTCCCAAACTGTCCCTCTGTTCAGGACATTAGAGATCACTTCTTTACTGCATAGATTCTTGGTTTCTGATATTCCAGGCATCTCCTAAGAACTAGTTACATTCACTCAACTTTTTTGAAACAGTGTTTTGCCCAGGATAGCCTTGAATTGTTGATCCTCCTGCTTCAGCCTCTCAAGTTGGGATAACATGAGTGAGCCACCATGCCCAGCTCACTCAGCTTTTGGCTTTTCCATTTCTAGTTTTATTTTAGACAATCATCTTTCCAAATCATTTACAGACCTTTAGAAAGTTAAGGATTGACTTTTTTCCCATATTATGAAACATGATTAAGAGTGTATAAATTTTTCAAAACTTTTTTTGTATTGTTTTGTTTTTGTTTTTGTTTTGCTACCGGGGATCGGGTCTTTGCACTTGAGTAGCAGGTGGCGAAACCACTGATCTAAATCCCCTGCCCTTGTGTTGTTTTTTGAGACAAGATCTTGCTGTACAGCTCACTCAGGCTGGCCTCGAACTGGTGTCAATCCCCCTGCCTCAGCCTACCAAGTGCTAGGATTTGGGGCATGGGCCACCATGCCCAGCAAATTTTTCAAGATGTAAACTGTAAAATAACTGCAGTTTTTATTATGAAATATTTAAAATACTGTGTGCCTCTCCCCACTGGCATTCTGATTCTGTCCTTCCTTGCTGGGTAAAATCTCTATCCTAATTCCTGTGCATGTCTTTATACATTTCCTGTGCACTCTGTGGAGTTTTTTCTGGATTGGATTTTGAGTGGGTTTTGTTCTGTTTCTTGTTTTCAGCACTAGAGACTGAACTCAGGGCTTTTCCACTGAGCAATATGCCCAGCGCTTTTTAATTTCTAATTTTTTAAATTCTGAGATGGGGTCCCTCTAAATTGCTAAATTACCTAGGCTGGGCTCCAACCCCACAATCCTGCCTCAGCCTCCTAGAGTGCTGGGATTCCAGGCGTGCATCACCCCGCCCAGCAAATGAAAGCGCTAGCAGCAGTGAGGTCACCAGTCCACACCACTTGGTACCACCACAGAGCTACCAGACTTAACTGCAACATGATGTTGCATTCTCTGACAACTTGGAGAGCACCTGCCCTCCCAGTACAACTCCACACAATCTGAAATTTTAAAGATTTAGTATCTCAGTATTCTTATACTTAGAAAACAGTACTCCATGATGACGGGGCTTGTGGCAGGTCCCTAAAAGAAGTAAATCCCTGGCTGGGGATTTAGCTCAGTGGTTCCCAGGCCTGCCTCACAAGCACAAGGTCCAGAGTTTGATCCCCAGTACCAAAAAAAAAAAAAGAAGTATATCCCAAACTGTAATATGCTTAGGGGACTTGAGGAGGTCACTCCAATTTCCTAATGGATTTTTCACTGACCTCATACAATGTATTAGGAACTGATTCAGATCAAAGGCTTAGTCATGCTGAACAACAACAAAAAAGAAAACAAGCCTTGGAATTTGACACAAAGAATCAAAGATGCAACTGCTCTTTAACATAGCAGTTTAAAATATGTACTTCAAATTTTTTGTTTTTATACTTTTTAATGTCATCATTTTTCAAGTACTCATTATTGCTTAATATGCAAATTCTTAACGTATCTAAATAAAATAATAAGCAGCACCAATTCTGACACAATACACTTCAAACCTTAAGTTATAAAATCATCCACTCCATCATGCATTCATTTCACTTTTCTAACGCTTTAATTTTTTAAGGAAAGGGGGCACCCATGCGACCCAGAAAAGCACTCCAGGCCAGGGGCTGCTGCACGCTGGGCGGCCGGCGCCGCCAGGAGAAAGGACCGCCCGCAACAAGGGGCCAGCCGCGCAGTGACAGCGCGTCGCCCAGGGCGGTGCCGCCCAGGCGGGGCCGGAAGGAAGGGACCTTGGACAAAGCGGGCGACTGGCGTCCGAGGCCCCGCAGCTGTCGCGGGAACGGCCACCCCCGCCGCCGCGCCGGGACGGTAACTGGGAGGCCGCGGGCAGGAAGGGGACAGCGGACAGCGACGTTGGCCCAAAGGGACACAGATGAGGAGGGGACAGCGACCTCGGCCGGAGGGGCGCGGGCGGGGAGGGGTCCCGGGGCCAGGACCGGGCGGGGACGGGCGGGGACGCGCGGGTCGCGGATGCGGCAGGGACAAGGGCCCGGGCGCGGTGGCGCACTCACCGTCCGGTCGGCGGCTGCGCTGTCGCGCTGTCCCTGGGAGCGGCGGTCACGAGCAGGGGGCGCCTCCGCGTCCGCTCCGCAGCATCCTCGTCCGGCCCAGTCCTCAGCCTCGCGCCCGCTCCGAAAATGGCGTCGCCGGCGCCGCGCCCGCCCCACAATGCCGCGCGCCTTGACGTCAGGGCCCTCGCGCCGCAGGGCGGGGCTGGGGAAACTGAGGCGGGGGCCGGCCAGCGGGTGCGGGTGCGGGTGCGGATGCAGATGCGGGTGCGGGGCGGCGTGGGTGGGGGCGCCGCCGGGCAGGGCGCAGCTTCCCTGGCAGCAGCCGAGACCTCCAGGGTCCTGGCGCCCCGAGAGCGGCCCGCGGCCTCGTCCCTGGGCCCCGTGGGGGACTTCTGCGGACCCCGCCGGCGCCTGTGCCCGGCAGCCTGCAGGTCCACGCGCTACTTGCAGGCTCAGCTACTTGGATCTCTCTCTCTCCTCTGTCTCTCTCTCTCCATAATTGTACTCATCGTGGGGAGTTGGTCTATGCACACAACACATGGATCGCATTTATAAATGCAAAGGTGGGCCAGCAAAGGGGGCAACGCGAAGAAGGCGGTGGGCCAGGCTCAGTTACTCCACGCCGCCCGTGGGCGCAGGCACAACAGCTGTCACCAGGGCACCCGCAAAGCGACCTGGCTCAGGGAGAGAGAAGAGTCAGCTGGACCACAGCCTGTTCTGTGCCCGTGAGCTCAGTCACCGCCTTGCTGCTCTGCATCCACCAGGTCCACCAGCAAGGAACTCTGGACGCCTGTGCCCTCCTCTCTCCACTGCCCCTCCCGTGAGGTGGCTGAGACCCTCTCGACTCCTTGACATTTCTCTCATCCATCTCTGACACCACTTTGTTCAGGCTCTCTCATCTCCTTGCTCTGTCCCCTCACCCAGTCCTCACGGGTGACCAGCAGGATCGATAAGATTCCTCCTGTCAGGAGATCACAGACCAATGGGGAAACACCCAACCTTCCTGAGGATTAAAGTAAAATGGCGCAACAGACAGCCACCATTGCCCAACTCTGAAGTGTGGCAGCCCTGCAAAGCCAGCCTGCAGCATTCACAGGAGTCCTCAGGCAGGCAGGACCCAGCCTGCAGCGTTGGGGGAAGGAGAAAAGTCAAGTCATCCACCACACCCAATCCTGCCAGGCCTCACGCTCAGTGCGTGGCGCAGCCTCTTTAGCTTGGGCTATGGGGCTGCTGGCCCCCCACCCGTTCTGTCCCCTGTGTGCACGCTGCCATGCCTCTCTACAGTGTGCAGTCTGCCTACAATGTTCCTGTCCCCCTCGTCCCAAGGGACTCTCAGGCTCACTTCCTCCAAGAAGCCATCCCTGGCTTTGCCAGCCTGGCCAAGGCCTCCTCCAAGCTCCCCATCCCTTCTTCCCTGACATGCAGGAAACTCCCTTGGCCTGCAGGCACTAGAACCAGAATGGCCTGTGTCCTCCTCTCCCATGCTCCTCTCCAGCATGGAGCTGACTCAGACATAAGAGAGAAGAGGATTTTTGTTGCAGCCCTTCTGACTCCAGGCAGCTGTGGCCCTCAGGAGTTTCTGCCAGCCCTGAGAGCCCTAGTGGCTGAAGGTGGATCCTAGGTACTGTCCAGGGTCAGAAGATGTAGACGCCCTGCTCTAGGGCCCCGAATCCCTGCAGCTCCAGAAGGGGCCCCTGGGATGCACAGAGTTCCCAGTCCTCCTCGCCAGGGCCCTCTGAAACCGGCACTTGCCTCCGGCCTGAGCACCTTTCAATCCTCTGACCCTTACAGCAACTCCAGGCAGACACCATTGTCCCCGTTTCATGGAGGCTGTTGCCCAGGCCCTGCTAGTTCTAGTGGTTGCTTTCTGCCTCCTGGAGAGGAACTGTCACTCAACCTTAGGGATAAAAATGAGCCCCTCCTTGTTCGGGTGCAGGCACTGGAAGAGCCAAGAAGCTGGTGTCCCATGGTGGGGACGGCTCCTCAGGGCCACTCCCGGCAGTGAACGGAGCGGTTACCTGTCCTTCCCTGCAAACCTGGAGGAGCAAGAGCTGGACAGATGCTGGGGTTGCCAGGGTGGACCCTCCACATGTGTTTGTGCAGGTCCTGGGCCAGCTGCAGGGCTGGAGAACACCAAGCCAGTCCTGCACCCCACCCCACCCCCACCCCCGGCAGGACTTGGGTTCCACTGCAGACAGAGCAGAGCGGGAGCAGCCTCTCCTCCTCCTCCCCACCTGTGTTCTTCCGGCCTCCGCCCTGTTCACTCCCTTGCTCTGAAACCCTAAATAGGCTGGGGCTGGCTGGGGATGGAGCAGCAGGTTGGCAGCTACCTACCCATCCCTGGGAAGCTCAGACCCTTGGTCACAAGGAGTGAAGACGTCCACATCTATCCATCAGCCCATGCCCAGCCGCCTCCCACAGTCTGCCCGGCTCCCGGGCCTCAGACCGGAGCCCAGAGCGCACATTTCTCACTGGTTCTGCTCCTGGTCTGTGCTGAGAACCACTAGTTCTACAGGCAGATGCCGCACTGGGGGTCTGGAGAGGCCACCTGTGGGTGGAGTCCAGGAAGAGAAGCAGGCAGCCCTGACAGAAGAGATACATTCGCACTCTCTGGCGTAGGGAACGGAACTGGAAGTTACTAAGCTTTTTAAGCTTTCACTTATCCTTTTTTTTTTTTTTTTTGCAGTACTCAGGTTTGAACCCAGGTCTTTACACCAAGCTTCATCCCCAGCCCTTTTTTCAAATTTTGGACTGGGTCTTGCTAAATTGATAAATTGCCCTAGTAGGCTTCAATTTGCAATCCTCCTGCCTCAGCCCCCCAAAGTTGGGGATTACAGGAGGGCACCAGCATTGACAGCATTCATCTTTTGAATGTAAATGTGATGTGGCCTCTGTTTTAGGGCCAGCCTTTGGGAGAGACAGAGGCTGGGATTTCCCTTTTTTTTTTTTTTGGTACTGGGGATCAAACTCAGGTCCTTCCACTCTCAAGGCAGGCAGCAGAACCACTGAGCTAAATCCCCAGCCCTGGGATTTCCCTTTGATCCGGAGGAGTCTGCAGCCCAGCAGGCAGCTCAGTCTACCTCCGACTCAGGAGGTGAGGGAGAGGAAATGGGGGAGTGGGGAGAGAGAAGGAAGTGGTGAGCGAGAGCAGGGAGGGAGAGAGGAGAAAGGGGAGGAGAGCGATGAGGGGGAGAACAAGGAAGGAAGGAGAGAGGAGCAGCACCCGAAGGAAGGGTGGAGGCCAGGGGCGGGAGCCCTCAGGCCGTGCCTGGCCCAGAGGGCGGCCTGTCCGGGAGGCCCTGGCCCAGGGCCCGAGGGTCCTGTGGTGGGGACAGCACCAGGGCTCCACACGCTGCCACTCTCCCCACAGCCTGCATGCCGCCCGCCTGGCCTGGCCCTGGGCCTGGGCAGGGCCGGCTGACTGAGGCTGGGGAGGAGAAGGCTGCACCAGCCTGGCATCTGGGCTGGGCTGATCTGGGCTGGGTCCTGCCTCGCCTCAGCCACAGGCTCAGGCTTTAGCTAAAAATGGAAGTTATGCCATTTCCAGGGAGCTTCTTCTTCCCACAGCCCAGCCGGAGCTGCCTGGCCCAGCTTCCTTCAGAAACGGAAGAGCAGACTAGACCACAGGGCCGGCCGGGTGACACTGAGCCCCGCATGGCACCTCACTGTGCCTGCCCACACCACTCTCCTGGGAGCCTCTCTGTCCCCTGAGAGTGCGGAGCCTGAGCTGCTTCCTGTCCAGCCCAGGCCCTGGTAGCTGGTTCCTCTCGTGGCTCTGGCTGCCCTGTCCCCGGGGTCCCCAGGGATGAGGAGGTCTCAGCCACACAAGGAGCCTGGCTTTGTGTGCTTTGCACCACGTCACACTCACTGAGCCATGTGTCTGGACTTGGGCTCCAAGCTGCCAGAGAATATTTATCCTGTTTCACCCAGGGCCACAGGGCCCTCAGAGAAGTGTGGGCCTCACACAGGGCTCCCACGGCGATCAAGAAAGGGCCCTTCCTGAACCTGGGAGGGGCAGACATGTGTGATCCGATAATGTGAAGGCACAGCCAGCACCCGGGACAGAGGCTGCGAAACAGCACGAACAGCAGTGCTCCACTGTGTAAAAACCACATCTTCTTATCCACTCATCGGTTGAAGGGCATCTGAGCTGTTCCTGAGCTTTAGCTATTACAAGCTATTACAAACCGTGCTGCTATAAACATGGGTGTGCGTAGATCGCTTTTAATTCTTTTGGGAAGATACCAAGAAAGAGAATAGGTGGGTCAAATGGGACCTCTAGTTTTAGGGGGTTTTTTGGTTGTTGTTTTTTTTGTTTTGGCACCAGGGATTGAACTTGGGACCTTGCATTTTCGAGGCAGGCGCCGGAACCACTGAGCTAAATCCCAGGCACTAGTAGTTTGTTTTTAATTAATAGCATTTCCTTTTTGCTGCCTTTTATTTTTATTCTTTTATTTTTCACAGAGCTAGGGATGGAGCCCAGGGCCCAGTGCGTGCTAGGCAAACACTCTACCACTGAGCCGCATCCCGGCCCTTTTGCGGTTTTCACTTGTTTTCCCCAGCAAGATACTGAACATCTCTTCCTGTGCTTATTGGCCATTCATATACCCATCTTTGTGAAATGTTTGTTCAAGTCTTTCTCTTTTTAGACAGGGTCTCACTAAGTCATTACGTTGCAAGATTGAACTTGCAATCTTCCTGCCTCAGCCTCCCAGAGTGCTGGAATCACAGACATGTACCACCATGCTTGACTACATTTATCATTTTCTATATGTTAGTAACCTTTGGACACTTTTCTAGTTATTTTGAAACATATCCTAGATTGCTGTAGAACACCAGGCTTGCTAATTCCTCCTATCTAACTGTATTTTGGTACACATTTAAATGTCTTTTAGGAATTGGGAATGGCTGCTTAGTATATGGGAGAGCTGAATTCAATCCCTAAGACCAAAGGGAAAAAAAAGTTTTAAAATGGTAAATTTTATCTCATGCATAATTTAGAACAAGAAAAAGGAAAAATAGCAACAATAAACAGCATAAGATCATTTCACCAAACATGCCCTAATATCACGAGCTGTTGGTTCATATTCAAAACCATGTTCCCTGTGGCCTCGTAAATGAGTTTAGGGGGTTTTTGTTTTTGTTTTTTGAGACAGGGTCTCAGGCTGGCCTTAAACTCACTAGGCAGCCCAGGCTGGCCTCAAAGTTAGAGCGATCCTCCTGCCTCAGCCTTCCAAGTGCTAGGATCACCAGGCATGCGCCACCATGACTGGTTTGTAAATAATTCTTTGAAGTTTTTCAGATAAGAATCCCCCCCAAAAAAAAAGAATCCCAAAGGGCAAAGATTGAATGATTCTACGTGGATTTCAGAGCTCCGCAGAGGAGGGACCTTATGGAGCAATTCACACTATGCCCTGAGCACTGGGATTAAGGCCCGAGCCACCACAACTGGCTCCCTCTTCTGATTTCTTTCTGGCCAAAGCTCCCAGGGTTTTATCTGCACAGGCCCGAGCTTTGGGTGTGCGCCTCACAACCCTGGGGTCCTCTGTCGTGCCCCTCTGTCTCTGCATTCCTGGCTGCCCTGGAGAGGCATAGCACTGATTTCGTCTTTCGTCGTAAAGCCACAGAAACGTGAGTGTGTAACACCCATGCTTACTATTTATACTACTTCTATTGATGAATTATTAAGTTTAATTTTATGAGTTTAATTATTAAACAATGAGTACTTAACAGGAAAAACAAATCCAAAAAACAAAGTATTGAATTTTTTTTTTTGGTACTAGGGATCGAACTCAGGACCTTGCACTTGCAAGGCAGGCAGCAGAGCCACTGAGCTAAATCCCTGGCCCCTTTTTAAATTTTTAATATTTATTGAGTGTTCATAAAAAAGCATCAAAATTTTCAACACTGACTGTTTTTTGGTGTATAAAGTCTAAAAAATAACAACAAAAATAAATTCCAATATAAACTACAATGAAAATACCAATAGAATTCTCCAAAATAAGTGATCTTTACTTCATCGTCACACGCAAGGCAGTCCTCACACATGACAACACATGTTCCATGCGCACCTCTCACTTACACTGACAGCACATGTGCTTAGCTTCCCTCTTCCCCTGTGGCTGGGGAAGCATCACCCAGTGAGCGGATGGTGGCACCGGGGCCAGAGGCCACCGTGGGCGTGCCTGGGCAATGCAAGCCCCCCCGCAGCTCCATCTACCAGCTGGGCTCCGCGTCCTCACCTCCTACCGCGACCCTCGGACAGCCGAGCCCCCGCTTCAGTCCCTTACTTGGACAGCCGGCTTCTGGCCCGAAGCCCACAGTGGCATGGACGCTTGTGTGTGTAGTTGAGTAACCCAGCAGAACCGGCCACCGGCTGCGCTGTGTCCTGCTGCCCTTCTGGCCTCTCCCAGGCTCTGTCCAAGCTCGGCTGCTGCTCAGGCAAGGGCTGTACCCCAGTGGTCCAGACTGTGGAACTGTATGGCCTCCAGGTCTGGAGAAGCCCGAGGCCGAGATGCCTCGGGCGTGCGGTCACCCAGGCATCTGAGGGTGCAGGGGTGGGAGGGTCAGCCTGGCCTTCCCCAGCTTCCAGGAGCTCCCTGCTTGTGGCCACAGAAGTCTGGTCTGTACACGAGCTGTGTGTCCAAATCTCCTCTTCCATGAAGACACTGGTTGTGCCGGGTGAGGGCCCAGCCTTCTCCAGTATGGCTTCGCTCTATTAATTTCCTATGCAAAGTCCCTCAATCCAACTGTAGTCACATTTTGAGTTCCTGGGGCCAGGATTTCAGCATGGGAATTTAGGGCATTTGATTTAACCCTAAAGCAAACACAGCAGGTGACCTGGGGTGGGAGCAGAGAGCTGTCGGCACTTTCTTCCCCGTCCTCCTCTGTTCCCCTCTCTTTCAGGCTGCATCTCCAGCAAAAGGGTGTCCATCCATGCAGATGGCTGCTGCTGTCGAGCAGCCCCAGGAGCTGCCCCTCCCTGTCCCCTTGGCTTCTCTCTGTTCCCAGTCTCTGGCCACACTGACATCCCTGGTGTGTCCCCAAATCCCTGCCCTCCCCTGTGTTAATCAGCTCTCTGTCACTATAACAAAACCCCAGAGGCAACCAATTTAGAAGGAGGAAAGGTTCATTTTGGCTTACAGGTTTGGAGGTTCCAGTTCAGGGTCAGGTGCTTGGCTGTGGTGGCACAGGATGGCAGGAGTGTGTGGCCTAGCAGGCTGACCATCTGTCCACGAGATGCCAAGGAGGCAGAGGGAGGGACTGGGGTCCCAAAACCCTTCTAGGTCACTCCCCAGCCACTTCAGGGCCTCTCTCAGCCTCACCTCTTAGAGGTCCGTCCACTTCCCACAGACCCACCTGGGGACCCAGCCTTCACCACGCAGGCTTGAGGATGCTGCAGGTCTATACAACAGACCTCCACTCCTTTCCTGAAGCTCCCTCCTCTGGCCAAACCCCAGCTCCTGCTGACCCCAAAGGGACGCTGGCTCACCTGCTCACCAGGGGGAGCATGCTGTAGTGCCCCTGAACTTGTGTCCCTTCCCTGCAGAACCCAGTGACCATGGTCATGCTGTGTCCCCTGGGTTGGGCCGGAGCATCTCACAGCCCTGTCTCTAGTCCCAGCCGCAGCAGGGAGTACTATCCCATGTTACAGATGGAGAAACAGGCTGTGAGGGGCATGCCAGGTAATCATGATTGTCAGCTCAGCTGGGTTAAGAGACTCTTGAAGAGGTGACTAGATGGGGAGGGCACCAGCCTCAGTGGCGGGTTAACCCACGATGGCTACTAGGAAGTGGGGCCTGGATGGAGGAAGTAGGTCACCGGGGGTATGACCTTGGGGACTATATGTGGTCCCTGGCCCCTTCCTCTTCAGTTCTTTCCTGCTCTCTTCTTCCAAGTTGCCATGAGGTGAGCAGCTTTGCTTTTCCATGCCCTTCTGCCATGACCCAGCTGAAACCTTGAGCCCAAGTAAACTCTCCTCCTTGAAGTTGGAGGTGTCAGAAGCCCAGCACCAACGTGCAGGCAGGTAGCAACAGAGTGGTCAGTCAGCAGGTATAAGCTAGAGACGGCAGAACCATAGCTGCTGGGCTAGGGAAGGGAACCTCAAAGGGATGGGAGTCCAAGCTTCCTGGGTTTGTGGCCCCACAACTTCTGAGAAGGCTCATGGAGCCCTACAGGTTCCCCACCACACACTCGTGTAAGTCTGGGGTCAATGCACCAATGCTTGTGTACAGGGGGGACTCACTCTCCACGCCAACACAACCAGACCTCATTAGCATGTATTTACATATTTAAGTCAGCCAAAAGGTCACTCTCCCCAGGCAAGGGTGGAAACCCACTGCTGACTGAAGAAAACTCTCCTCTCATCCCCCAAATTCTAGAAACAGAAAAGAAAATGACCCTGGTCCCTGGGTACTGGGCCTCTCCCCAAGTGTCCATGCTGTGACATGCACTGGCCAGACAGCTCCAGCTCCACCTGCTGCCCCACCCTGAGAGAGCTGCCCTGCCCGCTGCTTTCTGCTCCTTCCTCTAAGGACCTACTTGCTAACCCCACTGCTTGCTGACTCTGTGTCCTTGTGCCATGGGCCTCCCTAGAAACTTTCTCGGAGATGATGCAAAAACCAAGACATCCACACAATGCAGATCACAGCCACCATGATCAAAAACCCGATGGTTGGGCTGGGGATGTAGCTCAGTGGCACTGTGCTTGCGAGGCAGACACAAGGTCCTGAGTTCGATCGCGGTACAAAACAACAACAAAACCTCAGTGGTAGTTGGTTCCTCTTGGGGCTGGAAGGACCCCACCCCACACCCCATCTCAGTTTCCGGAAGCTCCTTGTGGTCCCTGATGCCCTTGCCGGCAGATGCATCTCCCCAACCTTTGCGTCCTGCTGTGTTGCGAATCCCATCCTTTCCAGTGGCACTGCCATCTCCACTTGTGGCTACCCTAAGTCCAGGGTGATGTTCTGGCAACACCTGGGAAGGCCCTGTTCTCAGAGAAGCCCACACATAGGCCCTGGCCTCTGGGCGTGGACCCATCTTTCGGGGCGGGGCCTCTGCACAGAGCTGGCCCGAAGCTGCCACTGTTGTCCTTTGACAGTGGAGGCAAATCAGCCCCAAAGGGTCCATTGCTGCTTTGTTCTCCAAGCAAAGAGCAAGTGCAGCTCCCTCCCAGCGCCTGCTGTTTTGTTTCTAATATAAATGTATTTTTACTTGATACACAAAACACTGAAGAGTTGTACACAGGAACCACGGATGTCGCTGTCCATGCAACGCAGGGGTAAGGGGAGGAGGCCACCTGTCTGGGCTTGTCCACACTCCTGCTGGGCAAGCCCCTGGGAAGGTGGAAGGTTCTGCTTGGCCACAACTTCTGAATGACAGGCAGGATCACCCCCGGGGCCCAGCTGCACCCCAGCCCTCCACAAGCAGAGCTGGGGAGCCCGCAGAGACGAGGCCCTGGCGAGGCGAGGGCTCCCTGCTCGGCTGTCACGGACACCTGGGATTGGGCGCTCTGGGCAAGGTGCACTGCAAGCCACTGAACAATGGAAATTGCCTGGGAGCCATGGAGGAACAGAAGGAAGGCTGGCTGGGGTGCTGCATGCCTTGGATCCCAGTACTCTGGATGCTGATGCAGGAGGACTGCAGATTCCAGCCCAGCTTGGGCAATTAGCAACATAATAAGACTCTGGGTCAAAATAAAAAATAATAAAAAAGGGCTGGGATATAGCTCAGTGAAAAGGCCCTGGGTTTAATCCTCATTACTGGGGGGGGGGGAGGAAGCAGGTGTAGGGCCGGGGATTTAGCTCAGTGGGCGTCACCACCTGCCTCAAAAGCACAAGGTCCTGAGTCGGATCCCTCGTACTGCAAAAAAAAAAAAAAAAAAGAAGAAGCAGGTGAAATTAACTTTAATAGATTGATAGATAGATAGATAGATAGATGGATAGATAGTTTGTTTCATCAGCAAACTTTGTAAGAAATTGCCACAGCCCAGGTGGCTGAAGGGTCCATGGAGTGAGAAATGAAGGTGGGAGATTAAGAAAAGACGAAGGGGGCCGGGGATGTAGCTCAGTGGTTCCAGCGCCTGCCTCACAAGCACAAGGACCCGAGTTCCATCCCCCGTACCAAAAAAAAGAAAAGGTAAAGAAGAAAAGACAAAGCGAAACGAAGGTGAGGCTCTAACTTGGGATGGGAGAAAAAGACCCCGGCAAACGCACTGCGGCGGTTTATTCGTCGCGGTGGAGAGGAGAGCCGAGCAGGGGAGGAGAAAGAGGCGGGTCTGTAACCGAGCCAGCGGAGCGGCCGAGGTCTGCAGGGCGTCGGGCTGGACCGTGTTCTGGCGAGGGGGCGGGGAGGAAGACGGCCCTCTCCTCGCCAGGCCTGGTCCACCACGCCCTCTCGGCGCCTGTTCTCCTCCCACGGGCCCTGCCTCGCCCACCGGAGGAAGTGAAGACGATGCGGGCTCCTCCATGCAGGCCGGGAGGGGGCGTGTTAGGCCTGGCCATAGTGATCTACAGCACAGCGCACCCCGCAAGAATTATTAAATTTTTATTTTGTTTTGTTTTGTTCTGAGACAGGGTCTCACTAGGTACGTAGCCTAGGCTGGCCTGAAACTCAAATCCTCCTGCCTCAGCCTCCCTCGTGCTGGGTCTATAGGTACACCCAGCTTAGAATTATTAAAAATTGGCCTAGGGACACAGCCCAGTAGTAGAATGTGTGTTTACCATGCACGGGTCCAATCCTAGCACCCAAAAAGAATTGATAAATTAATCATTTTGATCATTTAGGTGTACAAGTTGTGACGTTAAATATATTCACATTGTCATGCAGCTGTCACCACAGTTTTCTAAAAACCTTAATTAACAAGTGTCTGCAGGGCCGGGGATTTAGCTCAGTGTTTCCGTCGCCTGCCTCACAAGTGCAAGGACCCGAGTTCAATTCCCGATACCAAAAAAAAAGTGTCTGCAGTTTGTCGAGGTTTTTGAAAAAAATCAAATTGTAAACTTTTATTCCAAATTAAAAGCTGGGCGTGGTGGTGCACACCTGTAATCCCAGCACTTGGGAGGCTGAGGCAAGAGGATCGCCACGAGTTCAAGGCCAGCCTGGGCTACACAGTGACCTCAAGGTCAGCCTGGCAGATGGACTGCTTTTACTCTTTGCCCTTCCAAGTTTCCTGGGCGCCTGTCCCTTTGAGGGTAACTGAAATTGCTGACGGGGGTGTCCTCCTGACTGCCCTCACCCTGTTCCCGACCTTCCCGCCCCTGACGGTCCGCAGCCCCCGCAGCCTCTCCCTGCAGAGGCCTGGAGTCCGCGCCCACTCGCACAGGGCCTCCAGCCTGTGGGAGGGACGCGCCCGGACCCCAGGTCTCCCCCATCTCACCGCGGTGTAATCCTCCGGGGCTGGGTGAGGAACCCTGCACCCCAACAGCGTCACCCCAGGTGGAACCTCGGCTCCTCCACCGGCTCAATTCTGCCCCGCCCCTCCCGGCCTGAACCAGCGTTCGCGCAGCGCGGTCCTCGCGGGCGGGGGCGGGGCGCTCCGGGCTCCGCCCCTTCCCGCGCGCTGCGCGGGGGCCTGGGGCCCCTCCCCCTCCTCCCCCTCCTCCCCCTCCCCCTCGCGCCCGCCTGGGACCCACTCCACGCCCCGGGTGCGGGTGCCACTCAGGGGTACTGAGGCGCTCCTCACGGGCAAAGCCTTGGGTTCAATCCCAGCCCCCAAAAGAGAAAGAAAAAATATACTTACCGAGCCAGATATGTCCACCACCAGCTCCTCCAGGACAGCGGTGGCACGGTCAGGGGAAGGAGTGCTGGCCAGAGCGAATATCCCACCCACACCCCGCGTCTTCGCCACAGCCACTGCCGTGCAGCTGCAAACACCTGAGGGAGGAGCGTTCTTAACCCCAGCGGGTCAGGGGAACTGATGAAGCCACAGGCCCCGCAGTCCTAGGGCCCACTGTCCCTGCCACCCACAGCGGGTGTGGTTGGCCTGCGGGGCCGCCCGCGCCCCTTGGGGTGACCGGGGCGTGGCTCTCTCCTGCTCAGGCTCCTCCCCAGGGAACCTGGGCTAAGATCCAAGGCCTAAGGTCCATAGCTGCCGTGGCGGCACTGACACCGCTGGAGCGATGGAAGCAAGACCGAGCCAGGCATGGCAGTGCATACACAGCGAGACCTGGGGGTCAGCGGAAGGGACAGCAGGGTGGAGACGGGGCCGGCAGGATGCTCCCTCCAGCGAAAGGAAGGGCGCGCTCATTGACCTCCAGGGAGCCCCACAATCCAGTCAGGTCCGTCGGCCAGGGGCTCCAGAGGACATTTGTCTCAGTGAGACCTGAGCCCAGAACCACCGGCCATGGCCAGCCCGTCCTAGAGGCTGGGGATTTCTGTGTAGCTGGCACCATCACCCTGCCCAGAACATCCCAGCCTTGTGGGTCTGGGCCCTAAGTAGAGCTGCTGAAAAAGCACAAGGGTATGGGTAGGAAAGAAGGGAAAGAAAGAAGAAAACAATGCCAGCCACTCCAACACGTCCGCAGACTGAATGGACTCTGACCCAAAGGTTAAGGCAGCGAGAGGTCAGCACAGGACGAAGGCAGGAACCTCATCTAGCTTTCCATCTCTATCTGACCGTCCATCAGAAGACCCACTGAAAGGTCAGCGTTCCAGCACAAGTGGCCTGCAGGTCCCGAGAAGCAACCCAGGCAGCTGTCTCCATGACCCACACGTCAGAAGTTTCTCCACAGCAGAGCTGGTGGGCGCTGGTAACACACCCCGCTGTGCAGCCCCCAGAGCCTGTGGCCTTTAACTCTGCTGAGCAGGAGCAGAGGGTCACTCGGGCTCTCCTGGGGGTGCAGAGTCTGCCTTGGGTTGGCTCTGTTAAAAAGAGCACAGGACGAAGGAGCCACCCGCCTGCCACGAGGGTTACTGAGACCACGCCCGGCGGTTCATTCTGTGGTCCCAGCCTTGTGTCCACCAATGGTGGCCGGCCCCTGACTGGCTCCCCATGCAGCTGCTGGACCCCAGGGCCATACCTCTTGCTTGCGATGCCCTTGTGGGCTCCCTGCCCAGGTCCCTGCTTGCCCCGAACTTGCCAGCACCCTACTCTGTCCTGCAGTACTCAGCACCTTGCTGAGTTCACGTCATCTGTCCCTGGCTGCTCAGAAGGCTGCCTGCCCATCCTGACTCCTTAGCATCTGCAGCAGTGACACAGCACCTGCCTGTCCCCCAGCCAGGCTGCTCAGAGCAGAGCCCCAACTCCAAACTGCCAGTGAGGGGCTGAGGGGGCCCGGGCCCTCCAGGGCTGTTCCAAGGGTGCCACATCCGCACAGATAAAGCTCTGAGAGTGCACCTGGCAGTTTCCACACCTGCTACCTGCACTATTATTGTGGAAAGAGTCCAGGTTGATGCCACTCTGCACCTACTGTCCAGGGCCCCTGAGCCAGGCAGCATGTGGAGGACAGCCAGGGGGAGGGAGGGACAAAGACAGCCACAGCGCTGTTCCCACAGGGCCACGTCCCCCTGGGACGCTCAGCCGTGTCCATGACCAGATGGTCAGAGTCACAGCCCGATGTGTGGGCAAGCGCCCCGCTTCCTACCGGGCAGCTTCCTCCCACGGTGCAGGGGCCAGGTCTGTGCAGGTGGCCTGCCACATCCCCCAGCGTGGACACTGCCGAGCTGGGCTGCCGGGGCCCCAACCACAGGGCAGGGTGCAAGAAACCAAGAGCCTCTCTGAGGCCTCAGCGCCCCCACTGGGCTTTCTGCACTTATCTTTCCCCTGCACCAAGCTACGAGCCTGGATGGAGGCAAACTCCTCATCCGCTGCGTGTGTGCTGAGGGCAGTGGAGCAGCTGTTGGTGGCAGCCCAGGGACTGGCCACCCACCCAGCTCACTGTCCACCTCACCCTCCTCCACCCGCTCACTGGTTCTTTTCCACCGAAGGTCTGGCTCAGGGCAGGGGAGACAATTTCCACAATCAGTCACAACTGGCTTGGAGGCAGCTAGAAGCAGCCGGACATCTCGAGGTGGATTGATTAGCTTTCAACAGCACACAAGCAATAGCTTTGCTGGCAGATGGGCCTGGGCAGTGGCGTCTGCCAGGGGGGCACAGAGGCTGGGGGAGGTGGCCTCGTGGCCAGGTGCTTCTGGTGCCCACTCTCCTTGCGGCCTGCACACTGGCTGCTCCTGTGCATCCACCCGGTAAGCAAGGATCCTGCCTTCTCGGCCCCCTCAGCCCTCACAGGCTCCATGGTGGGACTGCTGGGCCCGGCTGCAGTGGTCGCCTTCCTATATGTCCTTGCTCACAGTAACAGACTGGCCTTGGGGATAGACACTAGGATTCCAGTTCCACGAGGCCCCGGAGCAGAGGAGTCCCCGGGAGGGGAGGGAGAAGGGGGTGTCCAGGGCTGGGAGAGGACATGGGGACAGATGTTGGATGGGGACCGAGGTCCAGATTGGGAGGCGAGGACGTTCTGGAAGGGGACGTGGGTGACGGCCCACACTGGGTCCTTAATGCCCTGACTGTTGATTGGAAAGGGTCAGGACCACCAGCTGTGTGCTCCTGCATAGTGCTGAACACACTGCCTGACTGGTGGCTGAGTGCCCTCCTGAGGTGAGCCGTCCCAGCGGAAGTACAGGAGGGGGCGGTGGACGTGGTCAGGTGCCTGCCCCTTCTCCCTGGTGTCGCCAGGATGCCACAGCCCTGGCCCTCGAGCTGGTCCTCCAGGCTCTGCCCCTCCCTGGTGGTCCCTGCACAGCTGAGCATGCAGGGCCTGTGGGTGCCCAGGTTCCCTCAGCCCAGGCCCGGGGAGGAGCTGCCCAAGGTCCTGAAGAGGAGCCTCTGCCGGGCAGCCTGAGACTGGAGTCCACTTCTCAGGAGCCAAGAGGAAGGAGGTGCTCTGGGCTGCTGTGTGGGCTGTTAATTCCTGAGTCTGAGCTGATGTGGGGCGGGGGGTGCAGGGAGTGGCTGATGCGGTGACTGTGCTGGGGGTCACTGCGCCATCTGAGACTGGACAAGAGCAGGGCCCACCCGGGAGGGAAGCACACACATGCTGAGGTGGGCATGCAAGGCTGTGCCACCCCAGACTCGGGAGCAGGGAGCTGCTGCCCTGAGGGCCCTGTGAGGCTGGTGGCTGAGGGAGGTGGCACAGGCCAGGCTGAGCCTCAGCTGCATGCTCCGTGCAGTGCGGACATCACAGGCACCGAGCCTGGCACACATGAGCTGCCCATGCAGTGACAAGGAAAAGGGAAATTCAAGGGGGAGAGGACAGGGGAGGAGGGAAGCATGAGCTGGGTGGGAGGGGCCCAGGCGGGGGGCGGGGGTGAATGGGAGGCTCAGAGGGGCAGGAGAGCAGATGGGGCTGGCAGCAGCCCTGTGGTCCAGGAGCTCAGCAGGGATGCAGGTCCTTTGTTTTGGGGGGGACAGGGTCTCCCTATGTAGTTCAGGCTGGCCTTGAACTTGTGGCCTCAGCCTCCCCAGTGCTGGGATTGCAGGCCACCATGGCTGGTGTCTGTGTGTGAGTCTGTGTCAGTGTGAGTCTCTGTGTGTCTGTGTGTGTGTGAACAATAAACTCCGCGCAGCCCATGCTCAGCACAGAGCAGGGGCCATTTGCCTGCAATGGACAAAGGCGCAGGTTTCTAGCCACTGCTGCTCCCTTCAAACACGGTCTCCAGGGTGAAGGCGGACTCGTGGACCTTTACAAAACACAGGTTTAGGGGCCGGGGATTTACCTCAGTGGTGCTGCCGCCTGCCTCATAAGCACAAGGATCCAAGCTTGATCCCTGGCACCAAAAATAAACAAATAAAAACATAGGTTTTGGAGAGAAACTGAGGCACTCCAGCACAAAACTCAGAAGGGATATGTTAAAAGGCAACTGCTTAAAAAAAGCAAGGCCAGGTGTGGTGGCAGACACCTGTAATCCCTGCTACTTGGGACGCAGGAGGTTCAATAGCTTAACGCCAGCCTGGGCAACCTGCGGAGGTCATCTCAAAATAAAAGATTTTATTTTTGGTACTGGGGATCAAACTCGAATCCTTACGCTTTCGAGGCAGGCGGAGGAACCACTGAGCTAAATCCCCGGCCCCTCAAAATAAAAGATTGTTTTAAAAAGGGATGTAGGTCAGGCATGTGACACACACCTGTAATCCCAGCACTAGGGAGGCTGAGGCAGGAGGATCACCATGAGTTCCAGTCCAGCCTGAACTACATATTGAGACCCTGTCTCAAAAAAAAAAAAAAAAGGTGCATGTGTGCTTCATGTGTCCACATGTGCATGCGTGTTGCTCATTGGTAGAACATTTGCCAACATGTGCGAAGCCGTGGGTTGAATCCCAGCACAACCACAAGGAAAACAAAAGTAGTGATACAGGCACAAAAGGAAACTAAGGCTTAGGTAACCCCAGCGGGCCAGGGAGGAGGGCAAAGGCCCAGACTTTGGCAGCTGGTGGGAAGCATCTGCAGGCCCTGCCTGGCCCTGTGGAGGCCTAGTCTCCCTCAGGACGCCACTCTCTGCAGCCCGCTCCTTCTCCGGCTGTGCTCCACAGAGGCTTGGTTAAATTTTAAGTTCAAAAAGCCAGCAAAATATAGCTATTTTTATATTGCTGCTCTTAAAAAAAAAATCAGAAAAAAGTAATGCTGGTAGCAAAAAACACCAGCAAACACAAGGCTGGGCCGCACCATTCCCCACTGACTGCCTGGTAACCAGACTAAGCAGCCCGGGCCACACTCAGAACCACAGGTGCTGACCCGGCCCTTGGCACTGTCCCTGCCCTCCACTGGGGCCTGGGTGGTGGCCCTGGATGCCTGGGTTTGGGACAGTGGCCTCTGCAGAGGAACCCCCCAAAGGGCTGCCAGAAGACAGCCCTGCCACAGAGACGAGGGGACAACAGAGGACTCCAGGGGCTTGCTCCTGAGCGGGCCCCATGGGGAGGGCTGGCCAGAGACCTCTGGAGCCCAGTGAGGCTCCAACGCTCCCCTCGGCCGTCCCAGAAGGTGCTGCCACAGGCTATAATCTCAGTGCTCCTGCAAGGACAGCCTGGAAGCGCCAGGCACAGCAGCTCAGGCTTTGCAAGCTCTGTCCTGCCTCAGGCAAGGGGATGGGGCTGGAGGCAGATGGACCTCATGTGGCTTAGGAGGCCGAGGCAGGAGGGCTGCAAGTTCAAGGCCAGCCTGGGCAACTTTGTCAAGACTCTATCTCAAAATGAAAGGGCTGAGGGTGCAGCACAGTGATAAAGTGGCCCTGGGTTCCATCCCTAGTGCTGAGAGCGGGAGGGAGAGGGGAGAGGTCTGCACTGACCACACATCCTGCTGTCATGGACATGAAACAGGCTGGGACCCCCCCCACTTCCAGGGCACACTGGTTCCTTTTCTGGGTAACTCTCTGCACTAGAAACTCAGTGTCCACAACACGAAAGGCAAATCAACAGGATTTTACCTTTTTGGGTGGTACTGGGGATGGAACCCAGGACCTTCACATTGAGCTACATCCCCAGCAGCCCCCAACCCCGTTTTTTTTTTTTTGGTACCAGGGATCAAACTCGGGACCTTGGACTTGCGAGGCAGGCGGCAGAACTACTGAGCTAAATCCCCAGCCCACAGCCCCTTTTAAAATTTCCTTCTTGAGGCTCTAAGTCCTGGTGCCATAGTGGGGGTGTCTGTATCACTGTAAGCTCTAAAAGGTTCGATGTCCTGCTCCAAGTCATTAAATTGCCCAGGCTGGGGTTGAATTTTTCATCTTCCTGCCTCAGCACCCCCAAGTTCTGGGATTACAGGTGTGTACCACCACACCCAGTTCATCTTACTGTCTAATGTTAAGACTTTTTTAAATGTAAGACTTTTTAGGACTGGGGATTTAGCTCAGTGGTTCCAGCGCCTGCCTTGTAAGCAGCAAGGTCCTAAATTCGTTCCCGGTGCCAAAAAATAAGACTTTTAGGGCCAGGGGTTTAGCTCAGTGGTTTCACTGCCTGCTGCTCAAGCGCAAGGACCCGAGTTTGATCCCCGGTACAAAAAAAAAAAAAAAAAAATCCCATGTGAAAAAACAAAACAAAAAAAAACTTTTAAACTCACAACTATACAGTCTAATATAAAAATACTTCGAATTTGCCTAGGTGTGCTGGCACATTCCTATAATCCCAGCACTTGGGAAGCTGAGGCAGGAGGATGGCTGTGAGTTCAAGGTCAGCCTGGGCTATATAGCAAGTGCCAGCTTGGATTATGTAGTAAGACCCTGCCTAAAAAAAAAAATTAGAATTTTATCAAGCAAGCATTTTGTTGGCAAATCAGTATAAAATACCTCAGTGGGATGGTCTTTACATTGTAGGCATTTAAAAGCCCACAGGAAAGGTTTTTTTGGGTTTTGGGGGGTTTTTTTGGTACTGGGGATCGAACTCGGGTCCTTGCACTTGTGCAGCAGGCAGCGAAACCACTGAGCTAAATCCCTGGCCCCCACAAGAAAGTTTTATTGAACATGACTGCAACACAGAATCACCTTACTCAGTTTTTCAAAAGCAGAGCATATACATTTTAGGGTCAAAGTAACTTCAGGTATAATTTAGTTGCATTAACTTGTGACCTAAAGTAACATTTACCACCATCATCTATTCTTTTTCTTTTGCGTGTTCAGAGGGACAGTCCCGGGGACCAAGGAGCTGGGGCTGCCTCGGTCACGCTCAGCTCTCGTTCCCAGTGGTGTCCGGACACTGGTGGCTTGAGGCTCTGCCAGGCGGGCCTGGTCAGGAAGAATACCCTGGGGCCGTACTGCTCCCAGAGCACAGTTCCTGCCTCGTCTGGGGGCGGCGAGGGCCTCACCCACGGGACCGTGCTCTGCCTCCATGCCCAGCCCCTGCAGCACTGCTCCTGGGTGGGCTCTGTCCACTGCTGGAGACCAGCAGCTTCTGTCCTGCAGGTGGCCCCGACTGACAGGCGGTGGGGTGCGACAGGGAGACAGGAGGGGACACATCATGGTCTCAGGCTTTTGTGCGACAAGGCCTGGAACTCCTGGTTCTCCCACTCCCTGCCCCACTCTTACCTAGAGCTTGCTCGAGATTCTCGTCCCAACTGCCAGGACCCAGGGGACCTCGGGCCCAGCTGAGTGATGAGAGCCACGGCGGGCAGTGTGTCCTTCTGCTGCATGGACACTCGTGCTGGTCAGCAGCTCCCGCCAGGGGCAGAAGCCATCAGCTCCATGACCCTGGGGCCAAGGCGCTCGGACGAGCAGTCTGAGGCAGTACATCCGGGGACTGCCGTCAGCTTCCTGCCACTGACAACTCCTGAGATCACCCGGAAGGAGGAGCTTACTGGCTCAGGCCAGTTTGTCCCGGTGCTTGAGGGTCCCACACAGGTCAAAGAAAACAGAGAAGGGGCCCAGGGCCAAAGTCCCCTTGAGGGCACCCACAGTCCCGTCACACACTGCTGTGTCCTCTCCCTGCAGGCAGCAGCTATCTTCCCCCTGCCCACAGACGTGACAACAGGCACACACGGTGTCTTCAGGAGCTCAGGTGGGACCATGTGGAACAGGAGAGGAATGCGCTCTGGTGTCTCTCCACTGTCGCCGTCTTGGGCAGAGGCAGCGCACCTGCTTACATCTCAGGATAGTTGTGCACTGGTCAGGGCTGGATCCCCACACCTCACCACTCCTTCATCACAGGGCAGGTGGTCACATGGCAGCCAGCTTCCAAATCACTCCCGTCACTCGAGTCCAGATTTGCTTTTGAGTTACTGAGGATGCAAGCGAAGGCCTCTCGCATATTGGGCAAGTACTCTACCCCTGTGGTATACCCCAGGCCTTTATAGAATTTTTTTTGTTTTTTTGAGGCAAGGTCTATGTAGTTCAGGCAGCCTTGAACTATGTAGCCCAGGCTGGCCTCGAACTCAAGGCAATAGTCTTGCCTCAGCCTCCTGAATGCTGGGATTACAGGCTTGTGCCACCATGCCCAGCTTGTAGAATTTTTTTTTTTTGGTACCGGGGATCGAACTCGGGTCCTTGCGCTTGCAAGGCAGGCAGTGGAACCACTGAGCTAAATCCACAGCCCTTGTAGAATTTTTTGACAGGTGTTCATTAAGTTGCCCAGGCTGGCTTGAAATTTGTGATCCTCTTGCCTTATCCCCCGAGTACCTAGAATTACAGGTGTGCACCACTGTGCCTGGCTGAATTTTTTCAAGTGAAATTTTATGAATATTTTTACACTGTTCTATTTTGATTTGGTGTGATTCAAACACAGAAGAGAGGCATGCAGAGCTTGGGCTTTATTTAACAGCATATCCGTGACAACCAGCTGGCTGGCGACCCAGTCAGGTGGGATCAGCTGGCCCTGCCCTGAGAGGAGAGCGACCTTGGACTCTGGCCACTCACAGGCCCTCCGGAGTGGTGCTTGGCCTGGCGGGTCAGGGCGGCCTAACTGCTCATCTTCTTTGGCTTCTGCTTCAGCTTGTTCCACATCCTCTCCAGGGCCACTCTGCCCATAAAGAAGGTGATGGCAAAATTACGCCTGTACCAGTCTCTGCGGGGAAGCAGGACAGGCATGTGGGACACGGCACCTGCCAGAGTCGGGGCCGGGCCACCGCCAGCCGTATGTCCCTCCCATATCCGTCTGTCCCCCCCACTGGCACCGAGTCCGGCTCCCTGCAGAGACACCAAGGAGAGGGACCAGAGCCACAGCCTACAGGCTCCGCAGGGAGCAAGGGCGTCCCCTTCCCCCCACCTCAGCCCGAGAAGCTACGGGGCAAAGTTGCTGACAGCATCCTCTTCCAGGTGACAAGTTCTGGGGGAACCTGTCTCCGCGAAGCTTCTCACACACATGCCAGGGCACAGGCACACAAGGGGAACCCACCCATGAGGTCATCAGCAGTAGCCACCCCAGTGGACAGCATCGTGGGGACCAGGCAGAGCAGGACCAGGCAGAGCAGGCACAGGCAGGCCACCCCAGGCCTGGGCACGAGCCCAAGTGGGTGGAAAGCAGGCACAGCTTGGGGGTGGAGGCTGGGCCACGCTATTGGGGCCAGGGCTGCCCCTGTGCTGGGCGCGACCCCCCATGGGGTCAGGCCCCCCCCACAGAGTCTGCACTTGCGGTTCAGAGCACCCCAGAGAGCTGCACATCCAGGACTTGCTGTCCAGGACACTCCTGAGCCCACCCACTGCCGGCCTCCCCACCCACATCCTCTGGCCTTGTCCCATGACTGTCACTGTGACACTTGGAACAAATATCGACCATCACACCCAGAACTGCACCTGGCCAGACAGGTCCTATGTGTCTGTAACCAGCTACAACCTTGTTAAAAACACATGATCAAGCTGGGTGTGGTGGTCACACTGCAATCCCAGCACTTGTGAGACTGAAGCAGGAAGATCACAAGTTCAAGGCCACCCTGGGCTGCATAGCAAGACCCTGACTCAAGGAAGCAATAACAAAAATAATGAACAGACTTAGGAATACAACCCTGTGTACGGTCACTAAGCACTGTCCTCTGTCCAAATGTTTCCATCAGGACCCAAACCCGGCCTAGACCCTGCGACGTCTCCCGGTATACAGCGGCCCCCTCCCCAAGTTATTCCAGCTACACTGAGGAGACTGTGTCATCTGCAGAACTCCCAACATGGTGCGTTTGGCCTTGGCATCTTCAGGTGTCCACCTCAAACACCCACTCAGCCCCTCTGCCTTCCCCTGAACCCTGGTGCTTGGCTTGGAGCCCTGGGAAAACAGCCCATCCGGCGCCACAGCGCTGCCCACGTGTGGGGCGGCCAAGCTCAGCCCCAGGGGCTGTCCCGACTATCCTATTCCTTTCCTCTCAGCTTTTCTAACTGCAGCCCAGATCTGCTACTCCGTCAGGAAAATGGCGCTTGCTAACCCACCACCCTTCCCGCAGTTGGCCAGGGATACCGTCCTGGAGGAAGACTGTGTTCTCCGGGGTTTCCTTCCACCCATCGATCTGCAGGGCTTGGCAGCCCAGAGGCGCCCGCCAGTCCCTTCAGGAGCACAAAGCAACCGCTTCAGCCCCCCAGGTCCAATTCCCAGCAGGCTGGATGCCAGGTCTCCTCCTTCCCCACTGCTCCCAGCCAGAAGCAGCTTCTCCAAGAAGGAGCACACACAGCTGCTCAGAACCCCGCCCCGCGCCCCGCAAATAGCCTGAAGCCGTGGATTTCATTTAGAAATGCAAAGGTAATATCGATAAAATCACCCAGCTTCTACCTCTGATGCATCAAGAGTTAGATTCAGATAAGGAAATAATCCTGATCTGGATGTGGTATTAGAACTTTTAGGAAAGAAACACATACCTGTTATAATACATGTGCTTCTGAAAATTTTTACTTAAAAATTCCTTGTAAAAGTCAGCCATTTCTTCTGCGCTCAATGTTGTTTTTTGACCTGAAAGTAAATTTCAATTTCAACATTAAGAATAAAGGAGAAGGGCTGGGGATTTAGCTCTGCGGCACCTCGCCTGCCTCAAAAGCACAAGGTCCTGAGTTTGATCCCCATACCAAAAAAAAAAAAACCAAACCATTAGAGCTAATAAATTCAGCAAGCTTGCAAAATAAAATAGACACACAAATATCAATTATATTTCTAAGTACTAGCAATAAATAATCTGACATGAAGCTAAGAAAAAAATTCCATTTACTGTAGTATTAAAAAGTAATAGACATAGGGCTGGGGATTTAGCTCAGTGATTCTGGTGCCTGCCGTGCAACCTTAAGGTCCTGAATTTAATCCCCGGTACCAAAAAAAAAAGCAACAGAAGAATAAATTTGATGCTGGGCAGGGCATTGTGGCTCACATCTAATTCCAGCACTCTGGGAAGCTGAGGCAGGAGGGTCACAAATTCAAGCCCAGCCTGGGTAGCTTAGTGACTTAGTATCTCAGAACTTAAAGAAGGGCTGGGGATGGTAGCTCAGTGTGTAGATCCTAGGTTCAATCCCCAGTATTGCAAAAATAAACAAACAAATATTAATTAAAGAAGAACTAATCAGGGCCGGGGATTTAGCACAGTGGTTCCAGCACGGCCTGCCTTGCAAGCGCAAGGTCCCCAGTTTGATCCCCAGTACCAAAAAAAAAAAGAACTAATCTGAGCTGGGTGTGGTAGCCCAGGCCTGTAATCCTAGCACTGAGGAGGCTAAGGCAAGAAGATCTCAGGTTTGCGCCCAGCCCAGAGGTTAGTAAGACCTGTCATGAGAGCCTGACGGCTGTGATGTAAGACAACTCTTCTTCACCAGGTGCCCAAGGCATGGGCTGTGGCAGGGCTCAGGCCCAGGATGCACCTGAACACCCTGTTCCAGCCCCGGGGAAGGGGAAAGGGAGCAGCCACGCATGCAGCTCAGTCCCAGCTCACAGCATTGTGGGGGTGGAGGTGGGAGTGGGACACAGCTGCTGTGGGGACTCAGGCCTGACCTGCCTGGGGGGTCCCATGGGGCCAGCGATGCACACTGTCAGGCTCAGTCTGGCAAGCAGGAAAGGCTCCAGATGGGGTCAGGCCACCTGGGGGTCGAGGGAGTGGTGTGGCTGAGCACAGTAGGCATAGAATCCACACCTGGGCTGCAGACCCCCTTCAGTGGTGCACTGCTGGGTCAAAGCCAGCAGAGCTGGGATTGCCTGAGCGCCCCCTACAGCATGCAGGGCACAGGGCTGTCCCGAGACACAGAACAGAGGCCTGGCTGCTCTGCGGCCCAGCCCAAGTCCCAGTCACTCAGCCACAGCCACACTGCTGCGTCCCCAGCCCAGTCTGGCCAGCCATGCGGATACCTCACTACCTCCTGGGCCTCCTGAGGTGGGCACTGGTGCCCACGCGTCACTGCCACTTTGTGCAGAGCCCCCACCTGTGCCCAGAGCTTGCCCCACCCTGTGACCTGCTGTGCTTGCCAGACCCACACCCATGTGCTCACGCCCTGCCCCTGCCGGCCTCCCTCGCTTCCCCATGGCCCAGCCACTTCCCCAGGGTCTACACACCCTGCACTCCTATGAACCCACTTGGGCGCAGGCCCCACTCTCGCTGAAGCTCCTCCCAGCCACCCAGTCCCCAGGACAAGCACCGTGCCTGGCACCCGGGACCTCGACTGCATGTTAGGATGGATGCTCCTCAGGTAGAGAAGGGGGCGCCTAGTGGCCTGAGGAGCTCCCAGAGGAAGGACAGGGTCCTGTCCAGGGGCCACCCCAGGCCACGGAGCAGTCAGGTGCAGTGGGGCCAGACCAGAGGGTGCAAGGCCAGCTCTCAGGGTGGGGTCTCCAGGGGGGCCTGGGGACATCTGCATCCTGCATCAGCATCCTGGCATCTGTCGGCCTTCACAGCCTTGGGGGGACTGAAGAGGTGGAGAAGCTGCTCCTCCCTGTGGCAGCCACTGTCAGAACTGTTGCACTGGATGGACAGGGCCAGGCTCTGTCCCCCGCTGGCCTCGTGGCCTGACTCATGACTTTCCGGCCATTTCCTCATCTCCAGCATGTGACCACACCAGCAGCCTCACCAGGCCAGGTGCTGTCAGTGTCGGGAGGCACCAGCGTGATCTGGGCAAACGAGGAACAGTCAGAGGGCAGGCAGGGGTCTCAAGACAGCCTGGGCCACCCTGCCCAAGGCCTCAGACCAGCGCTCAGCAGAAAGCAGGAGCCCCACGAATGTCTGCTAGGTCACCCGTGCCCCAGGCCCATCAACACTGGGACTTGTTACAGAGCACAGAGCAAACGGGACGGGGGAGCAAGACGGGGGAAGGGAAGGGAGGGAGGCAGGGGCAGTGTGATTCACTGTACCCTAACGTGGGTGTTTCAAATCCAAAAACAACAGCTGGGGCTGGGGATTTAGCTCAGTGGTTCAGCTGCCTGCCTCAAAAGCGAAAGGGCCCAAGTTCGATCCCGGTACCAAAAAAAACAGCTGACGAAGTGAATCCACTGGGATGGCAGCCTCTTTCCCAGATGCACAAACATTTGAGCAATAAACAAAAGGAGAGGAAGGAATTCACTCTCCCACTGTCCAGCCTGCCCTCAAGTGACATTTCATTTGGGGTCAGGCAGAACTGAAATCAGGAAATTTTGCTTTCTGCATGTGAAATGAAATCAGCAGATTTTCCACCCTGCTGCAGAGCTTTGGGGCGCCACCCAGCGAGTGCCTGGCCAACCTGGCAGCTGCCGTGCTACTCCTCAGCACCAAGACACTTCCAATGCATCACACTGCTAGGAGCACAGGCAGTGGGCATGGCTCAGCCCAGGGAGAGGCTGGGAATTTCAGGCGGTCACAGCCACCAGGGTCACTCCACCCACACTGAGTCTCCACACTGAACAATTCCCTGACTTTGAGAGGCACAAAGGATGCCTCTCGGCTGAGAACGAATGGTGAAATCTACAGTAGCTCCCTTCCCACAGTGGCGTCCCCAGACTGGATAGGCTCTGTGCTGCAAAGCACATCTGCTGCAGTGCTGTTGCAAGTGCAGCCAGACAAGCACTCGCCCATCAGTTGCTGCAGTGAGGTGAGCTATTTCTGGCCGCCTGGCCACGTCTTTGTCTCCATGGCACCAGCTGGGCTCCCTCCCTCCTTAGAAGCTGCTGTGCCCTCTCCCCTGCCCGGGGGGCACAGCACAGGGGGCCTGGGAGTGTCAGGGAGCCAGCCCATAGAAGGGCGAACTAGGAGCTAGCACTTTAACCCCTGGAAGGAAGAGCTGGGATCGCTCTGGCCCTATTGTCCAGGACCTGCCAGGGTATTTTCAGCGTCCATCTGCAGCATCCCCCAGAGGCTGGGGCTGTCCCCAAGGGGTGGCCCTGGGCAGGCGGAGCCTCAGGTCCCAGGACTGGCCTATCCCTCCCTGCGCTCCCCGCCCTGAGCCATCCAACTACAGAGGACGAGGCACAGCACCCCCTTTCTGTTAAGATCTTTTGTTACATCAGGGAAAGCCCTTGAGCATATGCACCTGAATTTCCTGTCTAGCTTAGTGAATTACCCTTTCTCAGGAGGACAGTCCGTATCATTCTTGTACTTTCTACACTAGGAACGATGTATTTCATTCCTTCATCCATAAATAATTAATCCCTACAAATAAACTTTTTGACCAATTTGAAATGTGCTTATATTGGAGGAGAATAAATTGGAATTTAGTATTTTAGATTAAAAGTCATTAATTTCTCCAACATTATAAAAAACCCTCTTCCCTCAGCTCTGGGCGCCTTTGTGTTCTCAAATTAAGGACACACAGGTGTGAAATGCTCAGGCCCACGGAGGGGACCTGCCTGCCCCACCTCCTTGTCAGGCACAGCAGCTTGGCCGCTTTTCTCATTACAGTGACAGGCGCGACTGTTTACCTTGTACGATAGGATGTTTTGAAGCTCATGTACATTGCAGAACGACTAAATCTAGGTAGCCAACAAGCTCACTTCTGTGGCAAGAATGTTCTCCATCCATACCTAGCATTTTCCAAGACAACAACATTATTAACCAGGGCCACCCCACGCATGCCCGGTGTGTCTCCTCCTCTCCCATCCACTGTGCCCTGTGACCTCGGCTTCCCAGCCTCCCTCCAGGCCCCTCTCCTCAGCATCTTCCATCCTGCCTCATTAGTTACCAAGGTAACTGAAAATCTGATTTAAGGGCCACTTCTCAATACTCAGCAGGGCCAGGATTCTCAAAACAACCACATCCATCTGTTAAGAGAGTGGCTATCTCGACACCTGCACACACCCGCACACGAGCACACACGTGGCCAGCTGAGGACCCGTGCAGACCCTGTCCCGGGTCCTCCCTGGCTGGGGCGCCTGCCCGTCAGCCTGGGTCCCTCTTCCTTCTGACACTGTGCAGGCCAGATGGTCAGGACCCAAACCACAAGCTCACGCCCTGTGCTCACTGCTGGGTGCGGCGCCCTCCTCTGCTGCCCCCCAGGACCCTGCAGCACACAGCAGGCAAGGTGGGGAGTGCATCAGGGTACTCCTGCTCCCCCACCCGGGGGAACCCGGCCAGGCTAGGGATTAGCAGGAGACAGATGGCATGCTGGTCTAATAACAAACTTGGCTTTTGGGGTCAACGGTTCTGGACTTCCCATTGGAATAACATTGTGAGAGCAGACACTGCTCTTCGATCAGTATGAAAGGATGCTAAGGCCCAGGAGAAAATGGCCAAAGGCTACTGAGCACTAGACTTTCTAGCCAAACAGAAATGGCAGAACAGGAGGCAGAAGGGTCTGAGACAGCATGGTTCCTTCACGCAGGGAGAAGATGGGAGTGGTGGGAAGGACTCGCCAGACCGGTCTTCTGTCCACAGGGTCAGGGCACTGTCACTCTGTGGCCACAGAGGAGTCTAAGAACCCACACTGAGCAGCAACTGACAGAGCTGCATTTTGGGCAGAGCAGTCTGGCTACAGTGCGAAGAGTGGATTTAGAGCAGGGGTCTGAGAAACCACACTACAGGTCAAATCTGGCCCAACGCCTGTTTTGTAAATAAAGTTTTATCGGAACACACCCAAGCCCATTTGTTTATGTTTTACTCAACAGCAGAGTTGAGCAATTCCAACAGACCCCCATATGGCCCACTAAACTATTCCCCCGTCTAGCTCTTCAGAGAACAAGGGTACTGGCCTCTGACGTAACACTGGAAGCCAGCAGGCTCGACGGCACATCCCTGGAACTCCAGCTACTCTGGAGGCTGAGGCTGCGGGTTTGAGACTTTCTGGGCAACTTAGTGAGGCCCTGGACATGGTGGTGCACACCCGTCATCCCAATTCTTCAGAGGCTGAGGCAGGAGGATTGCGGCCTGGACTACATAGCAAGTCCCATTCTCAAAACAAAACAAAGAGCTGAGGATGTATAGCTCGGGGAGAGAACATGGATACAATGGAGGGGGGCTGGAAACTGGGGGAAAATTAGGGAGTGAAATTCAGCAGTGTTTAAAGACAGAAAGCAAGCAACACTTCTGAGGAATGTTGCACAGTCACCCTGGAGGAGAGGGAGGAGGAGCTGGTGTGGGAGGGCGAGGGGACCTGTGGGCTCTGGGACCTCAGGGGAGTCACCCTGAGAGGCCATCACCACCAGGAGAGACACAGGGACCAATGGCAAGGCAAAGGAAGCAGGGTCCCAGGGCAGGAGAGACAGGAGGAAACCAGGCGGGGGCGGGCGAGGCAGGTGAGACCAAGATGCCCTAAGCAGCCGCCCACTCAACACCCCTCTGCTGCCTTAGTCTTTTACTGGAACATTTTAGATATACATGGTCACGATCCTCACGGGGAATATTATCTGGACGTGATAGATCTTGCTTCTTTTTTTCCCATTTCCCTCCCCTCCCCTCTCTTCAATCCCCTTCCCCTTCTTGTTTGCCAAAGCTTTCAACACCGCTTCCTGCCTCCTGTTCAGGTCCAAACAGTGGTAGCCAGCAGCACCCGATGCACTGACCTGATTCCACTGCCAGGCCCAGGCCTCGGGCTTGCAGTCTTGAGTGGATGAAGTCTTCCTTCTCCTGGAAGAAGAGACTGTCAGGGCTGCGGCTCCTCCTGTCACCTCTCCCAGTTCTGGGGAAGTCTGCTGTGCATTTCCTGAGAAGCAGCCCATCTCAAAGCCGGCTTAAAAAGCACCTGAGTTTGGTTAAGTTTCATGTGTGAGCCGGGCATGGTGGTGCACACCTGTAATCCCAGCACTTGGGAGGCTGAGGCAGGAGGATCACCATGAGTTCAAGGCCAGCCTGAACTATATAGTGAGACCTTGTCTCAAAAAACCAAAGAACCCCTCCAAAAAAAAAAAAAGGCCAGTGCTTCATTTTTTTGGTACCAGGATCGAACTCGGGACCTTGTGCTTTCGAGGCAGGCAGCGGAACCACTGAGCTAAATCCCCAGCCTGTGCTTCTTTATATACATGTTGGTTTTTGTTTGGTATTTTTTTTTATCAAGCACTAGGGATCGAACTCTGGTCCTCGAGCTTACGCAGCAGGCAGCAAAACCACTGAGCTAAACCCCCGGCCCTTTATTTGGTTTTTTGAGACAAGGTCTCACTATATAGTTCAGGCTGGCTTGAACTCACCTTGCAGCACGGGCTGGCCTCTAACTTTCGGTGATCCTCCTGCCTCAGCCTCCCAAGTGCTGGGATTACAGTGTGAGCCACCCCACCATACCCGGCACAGGTCGGTTTTAAAACTTCTACATACTCCAGCACTTGGGAGGCTGAAGCAGGAGGATCGTTTTGAGTTTGAGGCCAGCCTGGGCTCCATAGTTAAAGACCAGCCTGAGCTACAAAGCAAGACCCTGTCTTGGGCCAGGGATTTAGCTCAGTGATTTCAGTGCCTGCCTCGAAAGAAGACCCTGTCTCAAACAAACAACGGCCCCCAATCCCAAAAACCTTCTGCACAAGTGCACTCACATCGACATAGGCACTGAGCACTGAGCACTGAGCAATACCAACACAAATATTAAAAGACTCATGGGCCGGGGATTTAGCTCAGTGGTTTTGCCCCCTGTTACGCAAGCGCAAAGACCCAAGTTCAATCCCCGGTACCAAAAAATTAAAAAATAAAAAAAATAAAGACTCAGCTCCGCCGAGGGGCCAAGAAAGTTACTTCTCAGTCTCATATGAAGCCATGCTTACCTTACTGAAAGTCAAATTCTGGTTCGACCAGAACTGCTGGTTCCATTCTTGTGTTTCTTGTCTCAGTTCCCTGAGCTTTTGCTCCAATGATGATTCATTTTCAGGGATGTAGAAGTGCACAGGGCGGAGGTTTGAATGTCTATCTGGGGGTCCAATCCAATCGTGACAAGATTTTCTTGGAGGGCAGAATCTTGAGTCCTTGAAGGAAATGCACGGATTAACACCAGCCTGTGGTGTTTATTTTATTTTATTTTTTTGTGGTGTTTATTATACAATTAACAATCCGTACTATTAAGGTGCCACATTGGTTTCCTCTCTTTAAAAACTTGAATGCACCCAGGAATTTCCAAGTTAAAAGAACAATAATGAATATTAACATCATCACGCTATGTTCAACAGATGGTGCTGGAACAACCCACGCCCTAGTACGGGAGGAGGAGGAGAATCATGTTCAGCCTGTACCTTGCACCACAAACAAAAACTTTACTTGAAATGCATCACAGATCTAGATGTAAAATCTAAAACTATATAAGCTTCTAAAAGGAAACATAACAGATGTGTGCACATGGAAGCTCGTGTGTGTGTGGCACTGCCACTGATGTGTGCACATGGAAGCTCATAATGGCTTGCTAAAATGCCCAGGTTGGACCTGAACTTGCAATCCTCCTGCCTCAGCCTCCCAAGCAGCTGGGGTTACGGGGGGGGGGGGGGTGTCGGGTCACCGTAACAGAAAACTTTTGAAACCTTAAACAGATTTCTTAGGTATAGCAAAAGCCCACCACATAGGGCAAAAATGGATTAACCAGCCTTCACCACAGCTGATATCTTTTGTTCTTCTAAAAACACTGCCAAGGTAACAGGAAGCCAAGGCACAGACTAGGAGACTACATACTGGAAAGGGCATTTTCTTAGAAAACAGAACTCTTAACACTCAAAAAGAAGGGCCGGGGATTTAGCTCAGTGGTTTCATCACCTGCTGTGCAAGTGCAAGGACCCGAGTTCAATCCCTGGTACCAAAAAAAAAAAAACTCAAAAAGAAGAAAAAACTTAATTTTAAAATGGGCAAAATATATGAATAAAAACTTCAGGGGCTGGGGATTTAGTTCAGTGGTTCCAGTGCCTGCCTCACAAGCACAAGGTCCCGAGTTCGATCACCAGTACCAAAAAAACCCACAAAACTTCACTGAAGACCTACCCATTGCAAATAAACTCACAAGGACAAGCTCACCATCTTGTCATCAGGGAAACCAAGTCCAAAACACAACGGGATGCACTCTACCCATTCAACAGCGAAAGCAGAACTGCACACCGAAGCGCTGTCCAGGGTACAAAGCAACTCTGACCAGCCGGGCACAGTGGCGCATGCCTGTCATCTGGCACTCAGGAGGCCAAGGCAGGAGGATCCCTTTGAGTTCGAGGCCAGCCTGGACTACAGAGAGACCCCATCTCAAAAAAGCAAAGAAAGGGGTCGGGGATTTAGCTCAGTGGTACTGTGCCTGCCTCGAAAGGGCAAGGTCCTGAGTTCGTTCCCCGGTACCAAAAAAACCCCTTAGCCTTTACAGGTGGGAATGCAAAGTGTGGTCAGTCTGAGAAAAAGTCATGTAGGAAGTGGATGTACAACAGGAGCCAGCAGCCCTGTCCCCAGAAAGGACACACGTGCACCTCGTGTGGCAGCTGGCAGAGGCTTCACTTACGGCCACTGAGACCTGGGGGCTATGCACAGCGAGGCTACAGCTCATGCCACCACCTGGACTGATCTCAAGAGCACAGCACTGAATTCTATCTGCGACATTCTGGAGACTCCAGGTGCTGGGTGGAGGGAGGGAAGAGAATATGGGTGGTGAAAATGTTACCCCAACTTACTCTGTACCTGAAATCTACTGTATGTGAACTGGACTCCAAGAAAACGGACAGCCTGCCAGGGCCGTGGTGGCGCACACCTGCAGCCCCACAACTTGGGAGGCGGAGGCAGGAGAACTGCCCCGAGTTCCAGCCTGGGCTCACACCGAGCTCAACCCCGGGCCTGGGGCAGGTGGGTAAGCCCAGCATGAGGCTCCAGGAGCCCAGCATGAGCCCCCTCTGGTTCAGTCTGCATTATCAAGACCTCCTCTACTCCAAGCTGTCTGGACAGTCAACAGAAAAGTAACTGAGGCTCACGTGGGCGTCTGCCAGGGGCCGCGGGGGAAATACTCGCTTCCAGCCACAGAACGTCAGTGCGAGAGAAGCTGGGCGGGCTCACCTGGGCCCTGTCACAAAGGTCCCCACTGTGTGGGCATGATGGCAGTGACTCTAAAACAGAGCGCAATAAACAGGAAGCATGAGTTTTAAGTATTTATTGTTCTTGTTTTTATTATTTTTGTTTTGTTTTTTCAGGTCTCCTTACATAGTTCAGGCTGGCAGGCTGGGCTCAAACTCACGGCAGTCCTCCTGCCTCAGCCCCCCAGGTCCTGGGGTGATACGTGTGCACCACCACACCCAGCCTGCCCTTTTTTTTTTTTTTTCTGGAAACATAACATAGTGAAGTTTACTCTAAATACATTATTCATTCATCCTAACATGTTATCAGCAGTGTCAAGAGTATCCAAAAATTCAATGACAAAAAAATAAAAACCACGTTCTTGTCTTTAATATGTTGGGGTGTTTTTTTTGGGGGGGTACCGGGGATCCAACTCAGGTCCTTGTGCTTGTGCAGCAGGCAACGAAACCACTGAGGTAAATCCCCGGCCCCCAAAACACAAGTTGGTTTTTTTTGGTACCGAACTTGGTTCCTTGCCCTTGCAAGGCCTTTAATATGTTTTTATAGAACTTAATTTTAATGATGGTTGCTCCTCAGTAAGATTCCTGAGCCCCCAGCTGGGTGACAGGCAGGCGGCTCCCCGGATTCTGCCCTTCCGGGACTGACCAGGAGAAGCGCAGTCACTGAGGGAAGAGGGGCCACAGTAGCCTAACAAGGTGCTCGCCCACACTTTTCCTCTACCGGAAACTCACAACACGTGAGCCAGGCTTTCTGCATCTTAGAGATAAGGAAGTTGGCAGGCTACTACCCGGGCCCTGGGAACAGCACAGCCCAGCCTGGCTTTTGCTGCAGCACACCAGGACAGCTGGCAATCACCATGACAATGGAGCAGAGAGAGGCCAGTCTCAAATGCCCAGAGAGTGGCCACTCCTCCCCTCCACCAGCCTGTCCCGACTCTTCACTGGCTCACCCTGGATCCAGGACATCCTTGCCCTGCAGGGTGTAGAAGCTGGTCTGAGAGCAAAACCCTCGGCTCCTCCTAGTGACACAGGGTCCCCCTAAATAGCCTCAGCCTCCCAACTATGGGATTAGGGGTATGCACTGCCACACCTGGCACCGGCTTGTCCTATTTGTTGGTCAAGAACAAAACAGTGTACTTCCTGACTTCCTGGGTTTACTGCCCTACGATTCCAAGAAGGAAAAAGACCCAGGCTGGACTTAAATTGCTAAGTGCATCACAGCTGGTCACTCCAATTCCCTACTGCTTTCTGGAGGTGGTCAGAAAGAAACTGTTTAATCCAAAGATGTTTATAGGGAAACCAACGACATCAAAGCAAAGTTTACTGGTATTGCCTTCTAAAAGTAAGCAAATATAAATGTGTGTATTACAAGACAGCAAGGAAAGTTTTGAGAACCCTATCTGAAATTGAGTGACTTCTGCCGTAGGAACTGCAGAAGGAGCCTTGGTTTCTGAGCGATGAACCCTCACAGGCTCCCTCAGACTGCTCGTCCTCATCTGCAGACATCTGGAGGATAAGCTCCAGCGTTAAAACTCTCCACCTGCTTCGTGGTAACTGCCCCTGAGGCTGCTGTGAGTCTCCACACTTGGATGTGTTTCCCTGCAGGAGCCCAAGTGTGCATCCTGGCCCAGGGGAGGAAGGAGCCCAGAACCCTCAGCCTCACTCTGGCCTGCTGTGCCCAGGGAGCAGGCAGGTCTGACAGAGAAGTGGGGACACTCGGTCACCTCCGCACGAGCAGCCTAAGCTGCTGGAGGCAGCTGTGCCCACCATGGCCCAGCACAGTGGCTTCCTGCAGCCGGTGCCAAGCTGCAGACCACAGGCCTTTCCATGCAAGCGCTTTCACCACCACTCAGCGACCAGCCTGGGCCACATCAAGAGCTCAAGGCCAGGCTGAACTACACAGTGAGATCCTGCCTTGAAAAACAAAAAATAAATTAAACAAATAAAAATTTTTTAAAAAGCTAGGATTATAGCTCAGTAGAAGAGCACTTGCTTAGCAAGCACGAAGCCCAGGGTTCACACCTCACTACTGAGGGAAAAAAACAACCCCGCTTACAGATGAGCCTTATGTAACAATTCCAGTCATTTTCCATTTCCCATGGTAACTGGAAAGACTCAATGTTCGACTGTGACAGCTTAGTTCCACTTTCCCCTATAAACTGTCACTTCTGTCTTTGTTCGCCAGGAAGCTGCAAGAAGCTGAGGGAGGAAAGAGCCCTTCTCTAACAGGAAGGCTCCCTTGTAGTGGGAGTAATTACTGTCATTCCTGCTTCTTACAGCAGGAGCCCCGGGCCTGGCTTCCTGGGGAAGGCGGCTCCTCTGGGCCACACACCCCGGGGGGCCCCTGGGCCCTGACACCCCACAGAGGGGCAGCTGGCTGGCCTGCCCTCACTGGTCAGCCGGGGTGGGAGCTCAGCCCCAGTCCTTGAAATCTTTTCATGGGGCTTTTGCTTGGCCAGTGACCCGCACAAGGCTCCCCTGCCCAGCTCTGCATCCAGCCTGGCTCTTCGCCAAAGGAGCCCTCCCTCCAGAAGTGACCTGCACAGCCCAGAGCAACGAGGGGCAGCCAAGAGGGAATGACCAGGGCTCCTGGGCCATTCGCGAGCTGCCTTCCTACTCAAGTCCCCGCCTCCTCAAGACGGAGCCAAAGCAGCTTCCTTGGGAAAGGTGAGGGTCCCCAGCCCCCTACGCCACATAAGCACACAACACCAGCAAAGTATAGTTAGCAAGGCGTGCAGATGACAATCCAGGGGGAGGGCAAGGCCATCTCCAGCTAGGAAATCAGTGTAGGAGTCTCTCAGGAACACTAATTGCATGGGAGAGCCGCCTGGACCAGAGGAACACCCTCCCCTATATCAGTGATCACAGGGGAGCCAGCCTCCCTGAGGATGCCCACATTTATTGCTATTACAATCCTTCCCCCCTCCCCCAAGACTGGAGAT